GCTTAACGATTACCCCGCATTACGACGAATCCGCTTCACGATGATGTTTTTGCGATCGCAATTGCGATTGCAAAATGATGTTTTAAATGGGGTTTTTGCCTTTGCGAAGATCAGTTCTCTGCTTCGGGAACCGATTCTTCGCATTACGACGATCAAAACAGCTAATCGTCGGGTTTTCAAAATGGCCACCAGGTACTCAAAATGGCTCCCCGCTGTGCTTAGGGATGGATTCCTCGCTATACAGGCACAAAAAATGGCTGCCGTATGGAGGATCTTTGCTGGATGGTGAGTTTTTAGCCCATTGGAACCCATTAACTGGGTTTTAATGTGTTTCAGTGGGTTTTTTATTTTCGCTTTATGATGTTTTTGCTCTACAGCGATTTCGCTGGAATGAATTAACGTCGTTAAGTGAGGCACCACTGTACTGGGAAAGGTTAAAGGAAGTAAGAAAAGAAGAAAATCAAATACTAGACTGACTCCCTGAAAGAAGCCACAGGCTTGAGTTTGCAAGAACTGAGCACGACTGATGAGGAAATGACATTTTGGAGACCTATCATTCATAGGGTCACCAAAAGTTGGAGGTGATTTGACAACAACAATGACAATAGCAATGACAACAGTAACACAGGAAAGTGACAGGCTGGATCCAGCAGGTATCCTGCATTTCAGAAGAGCCAATACCTGTTGTACTTTGCCTTTTCATGGCATAGAGATTGTCAAGATACTGTATCACACACGGGTACTGTTGCCTTTAACAGCAGGCGATATTGGTTAATCATTGCCGTTTTTCAGCATTTAAAGCTATGCTTTAAAAGGGAAACTGCTGAACCTGTGAAAAAAGGCAAAGCCATCCTGACACATAAAAGAAGTTAGATGAAGCTGGGATTGCTTCACTCTGCTTCCCTTCTTTTTCATCCTAGAGCTCATCCACACAATGTAAAAGTTCCTGTCTCGTGGGGATGGGGAATGGGAGCTATTGGCATACAGGACAAATTTTCTGTGTCTGTGCAGAAATCCAATCAATGCAGCGCTCATGTGCATGCAATTTATGCCCCGCCACATGTACAAAATAGGATCTAGCAAATGGCTGAAATAACACCATTGAGGTAGCCTGCTCCTGGTCAAAAATATTCTAATTATCTCAACATTCAAATTTGTTTTTAATTTTACCTACATTTAATTTATATCTATAATTTTAAATCGTGCCATGCTCTGATACAAATAAACAAACAAACAAAGCAGGGGTTAGCTGTGCTTTGAATTGGTTTTGTTCAGCAAAGCTAGATGATCTTACACCAGAATCCAATAAATCCCCCACCCATTCCCTTTATCTTTCTGGATTTTCTTGTCTCAGTTGGGAACTGGAGTACCTTTTTGCCATTGTTGTTATATAAAACAAAATGTAGATTAACATCGACATTACAGTGTGAACAAAAACAAAACAATACAAAAAACCCACCCTACCATTATTTCCTTATTTTCCCTGAAATAAGGAAACTATGAGTCTATATAGCTGATTAATAATTAAGCAAGGGCAACTAAAAATACATTAACATTCTATTGAATGTACACATCTCTTCCCAATAGTCTATGATCAGATTGCCATAAATGCCTAGAACTTGGCCATTTGGCCAACCTAAAGTCATGCAGTGTGAAAAGATTCAGCTTACCTATTATTCCCCACACCCACAAACTCACACAACATAAAAATATAAACCAAACAGCCCAAATGTGGGCTTAGGTATTTTCAGGGGATGAAATTTATACATTCTTGTGACAGTTCTCATGTTTAGTAAAATCATGGGACAGACAGGCACAGGTGAACTTAGCCTTATTAAAGTATACGTAAAAAATATCAGGACAGGAACCGAAAACAAATGCTTACCTAGAATGTCACTATAGTACTTATCCCAGTCTTTCAAGATAACCTGATGAAACACGACGTCTTGAGAGAAGTAAAAGAACATGTTTCTCATCCTTTCCACAAAGGACATCCTGTCCGTTAACCCTCCCAGGCTGGCAGGCACATAAGATGGAGGAGAGGGCATTCCACCACAAAAGCGTTCCAAGGTGTTTCCACTGGAGAATCGGAAGGAATATATAAATGGAATCTGGAGCTTCTCAGCCAGCAGCTCCCCACAGGCCACGCATGGGTCAGAAATGAGAATATCAAAACCAGCAGAACGAAACTTTTCCAGCAATTTCTCGTTCAGCAAAACAGCATCACAAAAAAGTTTGGTTGTGCTCATTATTTTTTCCATAATGGCATACAACTTGATGAAAAATTCCCAGAAGGAAAGCTTGTGCATCTCAGTAGACCATGCATATATCATATCCTGAACGAACATTTCTACATCTTCTTTTGTGAATGGAGTGGAGACCTCTTCCACTTGAAATGGGAAAGGCTCACTGAATTGACTTGCTTGAAAACACGAGGGCAAGACCACAGTCACTTGGTGGCCCCTGGCTGTCAATTCATACAGAACAGCTTTCATATTGAGCCAATGGCTGAAGTCAGCATGCCAGACGAGGACATTTCCAGTGGACGCAGAGCCGGTGAAGAAGACCAGAACCAAGAGAAGCACTGATGCTGGTTTCAGAGACATCATATTGCATATTTTCTCTACTTGACTAAAGACACTGAAAAGTGGCAGGCTATTCTTATGAGGAACGCTGTTACATTTGTAAACTTTGCACTCCAGATAAACTTTGTCATTAATTAACAGAAAGATGAAGGAAATGGAAGTCTCTGTGCTAGAGCAAAATCCTGTCATGGATAATATAGCACATTATATCTAGACCACGATACATTATCATTTCTCCACTTGCTAGAAGTGAAATGTGGTGCCTGTTCACATTGGCCCTTTTCATGCAGGCTTGTACAGTGTAAACAATGTTGGCTTGGTTGTGAGGGAGGAGTGATATGCCATTTGGCATAATCTTCATGTCAAAATGGTATACTGTATTGACTTCAAGCAATTCGCTGTCTCCTTCTTCCTTTTTATGCTTCACCATAACTGCTCCCTTTCTCCCATTCTTTTCACATATACTCACACATACATGTAAATTCCTGCCATATTCATTCTTCACACAAGCCACAGCACACAGTTTCTGAAACGTCAGAGTCACACCTTCCACACTTCAGTTGCCATCTTCTTCTCTCTTATGTAGTGTGTGAGTGAGTGTGTGAGTGTGTGAGTCGCCATCTTCTTCTCTCTTATGTAGTGTGCGAGTGAGTGTGTGAGTGTGTGAGTGTGAGTGTACACACTCAAGGCTGGGAACCACTTCCTTAATAACAAAAACAACCTTGACTGACTTGAGAGCTATTTTCATTGATCTCCTTTACTGGGCATATAACATTCTTTAATATGGAAAATGAAAGCAATTTTTTTTTTAACATTTAGCTCTTACATATCTATGAGGTATTCTGGAAAATTAATTATAAAAGTGAAATGGCAACAGGAGTAGGGAGGGGTCATGTAGTGCCAAAGGACCTTATAACAAAGATACAGAAAACAAATGTTATGCCTAATTCCCATACATGTCAGCTTGTGATAATATCTGTTTTATGTTCCTAACACCACAGAGAACTTTCACATCAGACTTGAGAGAGGTATGTCTCTGCATATTCATTTGCCAATTTAAGGTAGGAAATTCATCGGGCAAATATTTATATATGAAAGTGGCTTTCTGAAAGTAAATAAGAAAAGCAGCATTAACTGAAGCTAAGAATAGGCTTTTACCCAGAAAGTCATTGTACTAATTATTCCAATCTTTATAGATAACATAATTAAACAGGTTGGTTTTTGAGACATGGGTTTGTTAGCCACTTTCCCATTCTTTCCATGAAGAAAATCCTGTCCATTAATGCTCCCAGACTGAAAGGCACATATGATATCACCCCATATCCTTATGTGAACATGGCCTCATCAACGTAAACACAAGAGATGCCATACTAAGAACTGGGAACAAATTCTTACCTAGAACTTCACTATAGTATTTATTCCAGTCTTTCCAGATAACCTGATGAAATATGACATCTTGTGAGAGGCAAAAGAGCATGTTCCCCATCCTCTGCAGGAAGGTCATCCGGTCCGTTAGCCCTCCCAGACTGGCAGGCACAAATGATGGAGGAGACGGGATTCCACCACAAAGACGCTCCATGGTGTTCCCACTGGAGAATCGGAAGGAATATATAAATGGGAGATGCAGCTTCTCAGCCACTAGTTCCCCACATGGTAAGAGTGGGTCAGAAATGAGAATGTCAAAATGAGCTGACTCCAACTTCTTCAACAGTTCCTCGTTCAGCACAATTAAGTCACAGACAATTTTGTTTCTGTCCAACAGCTCACTCGTCAAATCATAAAGCTTAGTGAAAATTTTCCAGGAAGACATTTCATGCATTTCATATGACCAGAAGTATATAAAGTCCTGAAGTGAATAATCCATGTCTGCTTTTGAAAATGGAACAGAGATCACTTCCAATTGGAATGGAAACGTTTCATGGATGTTAGCAGCCTGGAAGAATGAAGGCAGTAGCACAGTCACCTGATGGCCCCTGGCTGTCAGCTCATCCATGATGGATTTCAGATTGATCCAGTGGCTGTGGTCAGCTGGCCACACAAGGACACTTCCAGTGGAAACCAAGGGCGAGAACGATACAAGAAGCAAAGGAAGCAGCAGGCTCCATTTCACAGACATTGTGCTCCGGCTATTCTTGGAGTGCTTTGTGACACAGCAAAATGGCACTCTGTGCCGCGTTTTAAACTCTCCTAACCAAATAACCTTTGTTCCTTGGCATAGAGAGTCCAGGAAAGTTTTATATACAATATTGCATGATCCTGGTCTGACCTGGATGAAACAGTTGTTACTTCTACTGCTGGCACTTAAGAAACAGTCTCTTTGTTCTACATACACCTTTATTTGCTTTTGCAACACTGGAGGATACTGATGTTTTTCACTGCCCTGTTTTCCTTTGCTTTTGTAGTATATTCTATTTGAAGTGCCAGAGGTGGAGAGACAGAATTCATCTGCCTTCCAACTTATGCTAATACAGTAAATTTGCTACATAATTTTATCTATAAACTCATGAATGGCTTTAAAGTCTCACATAACTGTAAGAGTAGCTTTCATTTGAATAGAAGAACCTGAAGACGAAGCCAAAGGAGTAGGAAAGGATTTCGTAGCTTCCAGATATACTTTGTGTGGAAACATCAAGTAATGAAGTTAAATTTTACAGTATGGTTTAAGAGAAAGCACAAGACAGAACTACTGTATCTCCAGACAGCTTCTCCCCATAACCTATAATGCTTTTACATAAGAGAACGCAAAGGATGTGAAATTTTTTACCATCATACTCTTTGCTTTGGTACAAGGTGGGCAGTCTTTAGTTGACTCAAGGGTAAAAACCTGGCAATCAAAGCCACATAGGCATCCTTGGTCTGCAAGGAAATAAATGACTAGTTTATAGAGTAAATCAATCCCGTTTTGGGTAGAACCAAAACCAGGTTGCACCACAAGTCCGATGCTTTAGGGATCACATGAGGTCCAGAAACAAGAATCTTGGTCTTTGTTGTTTTTCCCTCTAGAAGCTGAAAGTGGTTTTGAACCATTGCTGCTCAAAGCATGTATATGGAGTGGCAGTGGTTTCACGGTTGACTAATATCTCAGAGCATACATGTTTTACATATTTTTCTAGCGCTTTAAAAATCCAGAAAAGAACTGCCCTGTTTGCCTGATGGGGGTAGTAGTGGGTTGAGAGAAAACATGTATGCCTGAGCAATGAACCATAAAATAGTTCAGTTTTACCATCTTCAACTATACGATCAAAGAAGCCCACCCTTTAACTAGCTATAGAAAGGTTCGACACATTTGAAAATCCAAAATTTCTCACATGTATTTAATGACCCATCTACAAAATCAGACTGTAATACTGCTTCAACTCATTTGCCAGAGGACACCAGAAATTTCAATTACTGATAAATACGACAGAGAAATGGCTCCACACCACTTGCATGTATGTTCTCACTCTGGGATGGAAAAATCTCATAATGGCTGGAATTTCCTGGCTATCAGAAGAGTTCATGCTCCTAATCTCGCAAAGCTTGCACTCATTTTCTAATGAATTGCTGTTGTAATGAATTTCATTTTGCAATAATCTGCAAGAACTACACAATTCACCAACTTTCAGTGGAATGAAAGCATCTGCCTGTTATTTGTTCCTGGCGGATATTTGGCCTGGAGCAGAGGGAGAAGAGGAGAAGAAGGAGCCCAGGGCTGCTTCCTTTTGAGTTGCTGCCTCCATGCCCCTCTTTGAGGATGAGAAGTTGTGCAATGAGTGAGGCTCAGACAGGAAGACAATGTGAGAGATGCAGAGGGAAAGAGTGTGATCAACCCTCTTCGTGCAAGTGCAGAAAAACTGCAGTTGGTGAGGGAGCTGCTCCTTCTCTTTCTGTCATAATTCCAAAGTGGGAAAAAAAATCTCATAACAGCTAGAATTTCCCAGTCATTAGGAGATTTCACACTCCAAATCTCAAAAGTATGAAAAATTCAGATCTTAAGAAGTTGTGTTTGAATGAGTCACTCAAACACATTGAGGCGTTTTATGCATGAGGGAGGCAACATATAAATAATGGTTGAAAAAAAGTCTCTCCTTCCCCCCTTTCTTCTTTCAAAAACAGGAATGCAACACATTCTTAGCACTTACGACCATGAAGAAAAGAGTTTGAAACATGCAGATGAGTGACTTCTTGTTCTGTGGCAACAGGTATTTGATGCTTTGCATGTCTGCTCCTGAGATTTTATTATTCTAGAGATGAGTAAGAATCTGTCAGAATCACAAGCTCAGATAGCAGGAAACGTCCTCTAGCTATCAGAAATGGACACCTATCAAAATTCTCCATCTATTAGGGTTACTATTAGGGTTATTAGGAAGATATCTAACATACTGAAAGACTCCTCTCATTCGGGACATCAGCTCTTTAAACTATTACCTTCGAGAAGGAGATTCAGGGTATTGAAAGCAAGGACAAGCAGATTCAAGAACAGCTTCTACCCAAGTGCAGTATTGAGTTTAAATGCGGGGTCATAAGTTTTTGGTGGAATTTTAATTGCTGGGAGAAACAGGGTATCTATATTTGTATGGTGAGTGTTGTGTATATTTTAACTTTTTTTTGTAGTGGTGTTGTCCAGTTTTACCTTGGGGAAGAGCACCTCATTTCGTTGCACCCACTTGTGAGTGCAATGACAAATAAATTTCTTATGTCTTATGTCTTATGTGTTACTCCTGCTCAGATTTTTGGTGATTTTATTAACTGAACGCAAGAGTAAAAAGGTGATTTGTGGCTATGAGAAAGGAGTCACCAGAATGCTCATGATACAGTGGACCCTCAATTTACAGATGGCTTGACTTACAGATTTTTTGAGTTACAGACTTCTCTGGCCGCAAAATTTAGGTTTGACTTGCAGCCGGAGAATCGACCTACAGACCAGAAAAAAAACAAAATGGAACAAAAATGGCCAGTTATGGATTAATCGGTTTTCAATGCATTGTAGGTCAATGGAGCCTTGACCTACAGACTTTTCAACCTGCAGCCACCGTTCCAATATGGATTAATTCCATAAGCAGAGGGTCCATTGTAGATAAAAGGAAGTACTTATATTTATTGTTCCAAGAAAACAATTCATAATAAA